CAATTAAATATCAATTACAGACATTTATTTTTCAAAGGATAGACAATTTCACGACTCTTACAAACACTGCACTTACAAGTTGTCTGGCAGACAGGCAACTCCTTTTATTTTCAAAATACATCAAAAATCAAGAAAACAAAATCAAGAAAAGAATATTTGTTGCTCAAGTTATTCAAAGCTTCTTGGTATGCATTCATCGTTGTCTTCCCTTGAGGTTGCATCCGAAATGGCAACCAACATATGTCCGCCGTCGGCAACCGGCATAGGGCCGCCGTCGGTAACGTCACCGGTGGAAGAGGAGATAAGCAAGAGAAGATCGGAGGTTGAAGGGGGGATGGTGATAAAAATGGGAAGTTTTAAAGAAGGAGAAAGATGTTGAAATAGAGAAGAAAGGGGAAGGGAGGGGGTGCGTGAAAAAGAGGAGAGGGAGGGAGGGAGGAAGAGAGGTGGTTGCAGGAGAGAGGGAAGAGGGAAGAAAAAAATGGGGATGAGTTTTTATATGGGGTACAAATGGGGTAGGATTTGGGGTACCCAAAGCAAAATTGATTGGAGGAAATAGTTTCAATTAAAAAATACGTAGGCTCTGTTTGCAAGTGATTGTGCTTAAATAAAAGCACTTTTTGGGAAAAAGTGATTAGTAATAAAAGTTGACAGTGTTTGGTAAAATAAGTGCTTTTTGTGTAATAGAAAAAGTAAAAAGTAGATTCTACACGAAAACCGAGAAAGTAAAAGTTGGTATTGTTTGGTAAAATAAATGTTTTTTTCTTAAAAAAAAAGCAAAAGCACTTAAATTAATTGTTTGCAAACTAAGTCATAGTGACAAATTGAATAGAATATCGGCAACCACACCAATTTGTTCTAGAGTGTGCTGATTAGGGTGAGAATTTTGCAGGACTAGTTCAACTTCAATTAGATTATATTTTTTCCAAGTCATATTAAACTGAAACAAAAGTGAATACAAACCAAGGCAACTGGATAATCTCGAACACAAATACAGTTTAACAAGGTCTAATAATTTTTAAAAAACAAACAAATCTAAACCACATTGTACAAACGAATCTGAAGTGTTATGGCAGAACCACAGGTCAAGGATGTCCTTGTTCAAGAAATTATATATACTCATTCTAAGCCGAGAGGAAGGGTTGTTTGGGAATTGACGTTTTACCGAAAATGCCTTATTTCAACACGTAAAACACCGCATATTGCAGCGGGTTGGGGCAGAAACCCCGAAAACCAAACGAAACGGAAGGCATATAACTATATACTACGTACTCCGTAAGTTATTACGGAGTATAACATTAAACAATCTCATTGACAAATACCAAACATACTAACTTAATAATAGTACATACCAAACACAATAATTGATCAATTGATGACCAATAACCCAGCACATACACTCCTACAAATCTAGTAAAGATGCAAACTTTGTTATCTATGTAGCTCACACTTTAAGCATCTGCAACTTGTTAGAAAACGCAATGGAAATCCAATCAGGCTGGGCCGCAGACCACTGGAGCTGATTAATTTCAGATCCAGCCCAATACATAGACAACGGATCAATCCCATTTGGGCCTGCAACGGTGGGCAATTCCCAGATAAGGGCCTGCCCATCATCTCCACCAGAGCATATGTGCCTGTAGCTCTGTGGGGCCCAAGCAATCGCATTCACGCTGCCGTTGTGCCGCTCAAGCTCCGCCACCGGCATCGCCGGCGACCTTATATCCAAAATCACAATCTTATTACTGTCCATTAAAATGGTCGCCATATACCTCAGGTCTTGCTTGTTCCAAGCTAACCTCAACAATGGCGTCTCCGGCTGAGGGCTCTCGTATATGATCGTGGAGTGTTCTTTATCTCTCAGATCGAAGATCCGGACCGACCCGTCGGCGGAAACCGACGCGAAAACTCCGGCCTGCCCCCAGGCTATATCGTATACCTCTTTGTCGTGGGCTATCAATTGGGTTTCTACGACCCCTTTCTCGATATCCCAGATCGTACAGGTGGTGTCGATGCTAGATGTCCCGATCCGCCGCGGCTCAACCTCGTTCCAATCGAAGGAGGTCAGCGGGGCGGAGTATTCGCTCGATTTGCTGTTATTGAAAGTGGAAATCGGCTCAACGGAAGATTCCCGGACTTCCCAGAGCCGGAGGTAGTCGCCGGAGGAGACGAGAAGGTCGGCGGATGTAGGGTTTGGGTGGAACATCAGCTTCGTCGGCGGGTATGGGTGATCGAAGGCTAGCGCCGGGTCTGGCTTGAGAGTTACAGTGTCTTCTTCGAAAGAGAGAATCTCGACCCGGTTTTTGTACTCTTCGATGAAGCTGCCGACGGCAATGTTGCGTCGCCGGAGGCCGTTGGTGGCGGAACCGAAGGAGGACACTGCCATGGCGTAAATTGGGTATGGAGAATCGTAGGTGACAGTATTGTCAGATCGGAGGTTCGATTCTTGAGTTGAATTTTCCATCTATGCAGAGAAAATGGGTTAAAATTCTGAAGTTCACTCCGAACGAGAAACGCCGACGGTTTATTGACCGTTTGCTGGCTCTCCTATGGTGGGCGACGTTTTGACGCAGTCATTGTTGACTATTTGGGCCTTGACTCGCTTATTTGGCTCGTAGTTTTGCTCACTTTTGCCAAATCTCTACTTAGGTCCAGCCCAATACTTCATATCGAGACTTTGGAACCAAGAACCAGCAAACCGAACCGTTGTGACCCAGTTCGGTTTGGTTCCAGTATTAATTAGTTACTCGCTCCGTCTTGTTAGAAGGATCTCGTGGTGAATGGTATGATTTTGTAGGAAAGTCTTTGGGTAAAGTAATATGGATAAAAAAAGAGGAAAGAAAAAATTTAAAAAACAGTAAACATATAAGTGAAAATAGTTAAAGGGAGATATGTTGGGGAACGATAAATTGTGAGATTTGACATGTAATGAGTTCGAAAAATATTTGAGTAAAAGTGTAATCATAGAGAATAAAGTATTTTCTAAAGTGGAATGAGAATTTTTAAAGAAACAATGACCTATCTATATCTATATTATATAGTAAAATAGAAAAGTGTGGGGAGTTTTGGCGGGATTTTGGGCGGGATAGTGCACCATCTTTAAAGCAAATCTACGTTAGCACTCCTAAAAGGTATTAGAAGACAACCGCACAGAATACTAAAAAAGCTTTATTGAGTAGAGCACTAATAAATGCTAGAGCAATAATTGAAGTAACTTTTTAAATTCCCAACTATATAGTATATACGGAGTACAATTTGTAGAATAATAATTGAAGTGACTTATACAAAACACAATTTTTACAAAAGAGAATAATACTCCGTAATAAATTGGAGTGATCTTCAAAATGACTATTGAAATTACCAATACCACATACTCGGTATTTATTGTCTTGGTGCAGGATAAGAGTATAAGACCATATATATGTATATACGGAGTAGTATATATAACGAGCAAAGAGCACACAGAACCTTCATCAAGCTACTTTAAGCTACTTCAAGATGGAGAACTGTCAATGTGTCATTATCAAGTAAGTGGTATGAGAAGGCATGATTGTATCCAAGATTTGTATGCTTAAAAATAGGTATGTATTTGTAATATCAGAATTAGTTCTGTATGAAGCGGGTAAGCAACTTGAAATAATATTGTTTGCAAGTATAAGCGACACAGATTGGATTTAAAATGTTTAAGAAAAAGTGGCAAAGTCGCTATGCTCAAGTGAATGATAATGAGTCTTTTTCGAAAGGATAAAAAAGACATTTATTACAACTATTACCTATGAAAAGTAAAATTTAGTATTATTAAAATGAAAAGGATGCATGTTTAAATCTATAGTTTTTGTTTGATGTATGTAGGTATATAGGTTTCTATTAGCTTTCAATTAAAAAACACAGATTCACTTTCAGACATCTTTTGAGAGAAGAAATATAGATTCACTTTTTGAGTATATAATATAAGTATAGGTCTGTAAGAAGCGAGTAACCAAGGGTAAAAAGGAAACTTTTTATGTAATTATAATTGCATAAAAAGTAAAAATAATAATGCATGTGTAAGAATATAAAACACAAATTGCACGCTAGATATATTTAAGAAAGGGGAAAATATTTTAAATATCCCAAACTTTGAAGGGGTGTGAGATTAATACCCCAAACTTGCATATGTAATTTAAATACCCCAAACTTTATATAAAAAATTATTTTAGCACCATAGTTAGCTATTATTTCTTTCAAAAGTGTAAAGTTTACGTTATTAATTGCATAATTTAAAATATTTTGGAATTCATGAAGACACAATTAACATTTTAAGCTTGCATTAGGAAATAAATAATGTTACCACCAATCTATATAATTGCAAAACTTTTAATTTTCTATTTTAAATTATGCAATTAACCTCATAAACTTACATTTTTTAAAGAAATAATACATGAAAAAGGTGCAAAAATAACTTTTTATTTAAAGTTTAGGGTATTTAAATTACATATGCAAGTTTGGAGTATTTACCTCACAACCCTTCAAAGTTTTGGGTATTTTTATTATTTTTCCCATTTAAGAAATAATGGCAAGTCACTTTCGCTAATAAATGTTAATTAGACATTTTTTTGGAAAATAACTGTGAAAAGTAGAATTTAGGTTATTAAAATGAAGTGGATGCATGTTTCAAACCGTAGATATGTTTTCTTAAATATAATAGTATAGGTTCAATTCTTAAAAACATAAATATTTCAAATAGTTTAATTTGGAGCTTTGTGTAAATTACTGTTTAAGCTTTAGATGGTCGAGGGATTTATACCTTCTGCTCATTGAAAGTAGCTTATTTTTCATATCTTAAGCAACTCCATCGTTTGGCAGATCTGCTAGGGGGAAAGATCAAATGGTGACACTTACAGAGAGTGAACAATACATGAGAAAAAGAGTTGTGCATATCATCTATATATATATATATATATATATATATATATATATATATATATATATATATATATATATATATATATATATATATAAAAGCAGAATCGTGAAAACAATCAGGTGCAATCTTGCCATCAAAATATTACACGTGTCAACAGATGGCTAAATACAAACACAATACAGATTCTTTCACAAAATAATAACGGTTCATTTTCTGGAAATTCCCAGCTGCAACCACATGGCAAATATTAGGACATTCGAAGCCCAATAATGGGGTAGTTACATCTCAACTGGCACGTCAGTAACAAGCAGTTGCTCATTGCAGTTTTATGACTTTTACCCCACATGGATCATTTTATATATGCTGCGACAAAAATGAATTCAAGATCATATCAAATCTCAGAAAGCACGCATAGCAGTATACTTCTACACCTTTTCTTTCGTCTCTTAACTTTAGATCATTATTATTAGATTTAGTGTTTCATTCCGGTTCTAAACTATTGCTGTTTCATGATCGTGAGGTAATTGAAAACTCATTGTTAACGGTATAAGTTTCAAAATTTTACAGTCACTAAGCTACTCACACTCTTGATTTTGATAGGGTACGGTGACAAAATTCATGCTACAATTTGTCCAGAAAGGCTTGGTGCGTTCAAGGATCATGTAACGTTACTGACGTACAAGGGAACAAATTGTGCATTCAATATCATTTTCAGCCACAGTACAAGACATCAATGGTTGACAACGATGCAGGAAAGTACGTTCACAAATATTGCTTAAGAAACATGGATTTGAACAATATTTTAAAGGGATTCTAGAGTATGTATGATTTAGTAAAGACAGACTGTTGTGATTATAAACTATGATATTTGAAAGTTTCTAAATAAATTGTGAAGATCATATGTTTAATATTCATTGCATTTTACAAAGAAGCGTTTCAAATTAATCAATGTAAGCCAAAAGCTTTGATTAATTTTGAAACCGTTCTTTCTAAAACCAAGTGCGTAATGTAAAACTGAACTTATATACGCAACAAAATGTGAAACCCAATTCTTGGTTTGGATACCATATATAAACAAAACTTGAGATTAGAGTTACTTTTAAAATATAAATAAATAGTCAAACTAGGTTGGTATATTTCCGTATGTCTAATTATAATTGCAAAATATGAATCAATAAACCATGAATTGGGGGTTGAAATCAAGGACTTGACCTCAACCTTTTGATTATTATATCAATATATATAAGAACGTATATGTATATTTAATATGTACTTTACATAAGAAGATTTATTTATTAAATTTAGATTATATAAATTATATATTTTTAAGAGAAAATTTTCTCAAAAATTCATTGTTCAAAACCATGTTTGGATCAATATGTTTAATAATATAGTTTGGAATTTCACAATATTTCAGATTCAATAAAATCAATGGGTATAAGCAATTAACCATGTTAATTTTTGAATTTTTTAAGATGTGTAAAGATTAAGTGAATTATTACATTAGGTTTAACACATAATGATTTCAACTAAATCAAAATGTGAAGATTGAATGCGTATCTAAAAAACAGTTTATTTCATGAAAAGGTGAATAAATAATATAGTTTATATCAACCTGTTAAGTTTTTAATCAATGCTTCAGCCATTATATAGGGATCTCTCTTCTTTGATGTTCTTTTACTTCCACCGTAGCCAAGCCTAAAATGAAATTAGGACCAATGATGAGAAATCTAAGTATTTCGATCTTCACAACCCACAATAATTGAGATTGGCTTTATCTTGAACACTTTGAAAGAAATTGATCCAGTATTAAAAAAGTACGTAGTATAATTTAGGGTAGGTATCTTATTCTTTCAGAAATAGCAATGCAATTACAGCCTGATTTTGAAAGTCACAAATGCATTTTCAAGACATTTCATATCGATACAATTTAATTTAATAATATAAAATCCGTAAAAATCTGAAGTAACTTCGTAACATCATATCCAAACAGATCTAAGTACATACGTAGTATGTGATATTTGAAATATTAAGACAAAAAGTTTCATGAAAATTGATCTCAAAGTCGTGAGACAATATACTTACATTAATATACATGATTAATATATAACAATAGCTACATAAATTTGAAGAAACATCAGATCTGAAAATATAAAGACAAAAAAGTTTGGAAAAACTTATCTTATTCCAGTCGGCCGATTTCTCAGAGCATGTCCCCAGCTTCTTCTCGATGTATGAGCTACGAAGATAGACATAAGAAGAAATTAGTTCATTTCTTAACAGTGCAATGGATTAGCAAATCAGGTTGGAAAAGAAACAAAAAAAAATGTCAAGAGTATTTATACAGAAATTAAAACAAACAAACCTGACTGGGAGAAGGTAGCTACGGTGTGGAAATGCCAAGACTCCATTTCTTTCCCAGTTAGAAGTCTCGATCCTCTTCATGCAGAACTATAAGCTTTGGAGACCCTCCCTCAGCAACAGTAATGAAAACCATGGTTACAACTCTTTCCATATTCAAACAGATAAAGAAAAAAGTATGAAATTGATCTCAGAGCTAAAAATAGTAGCTACATACCTCGCGACTGTGATACATCAGATAAACACTCTCAGGCTGAGTACCGAACCCACCTTCCTCCACCGACCGCGAATTGACTGTGAAGAATGCCAAGGTCTCATTTAGTTGATTGGGAGAAGGTGGATATGGTGTGGAAGAGCCTGGCGTGGATATGTTGTGGAAGGTGCGAGAAAATAGTTTTGGGAGAAGCTGCGACTTTGGGGCGGGCCAACTTCGGACAACAACGACATTTAGATGGTGGAGTAGGGTTTTGTGTAAGGAGTTGGGCCAAGATTAAGTGGGCTAAGTAGACATCTAGAAACAGGAACAAGACCCGAGGATGAATTAAGTTCGGACTTCTACCACTGCAACGATTGTTATATTGAGGCTTGAGCTGAATCTGCCCGTATTTTACTCCAAGTCCAGATACGATTGTTTTGAAAAGGGGTGCAAAAATAAAATTCCATACTTACGAGTTCAAAAAGGGTGATGTTTTTAGATGATAAAAATAAATTGAAACTTAATAATGAGTCTATGACAATGATTAAATAATATTTAAACTTAAATAATTTAGAGTTATATTGCAGTGAGATTTACAGCGAGCAAGCGAGCAAGCCATAATAATAATTTAATTGTAAAGAAATGAAAAATAAACATATAAACACTCTTTAAAGTTTAACGCTCCTTTCGTTCATCTAAATTAGCCCGCCTTGACTTTTCAAATTAATTGTTTCTAACTTTGATCGACTATATATTTATATAGAGAAAGTATGGTTAATATTAAAATAATATATATATATATATACATATACGTATACATATATATATACATATACATATATATATATATATATATATATATATATATATATATATATATATATATATTATCATGCATAAAAGCTACCACAAAAGTGTGCATCAAATGTAAACTCTATGTGGTTGTTCCCAAGTCACCAGACGTGAAAGGATTGAAAATCTTGATAAACAACCGGATGGTGCCTCCACTAGAGCAGATACTATAATAGGTTTACAAGGATATGCAAAAAAAAGAAAAAAACGGATGGTGCCTCCAATAACTAAACCATAAATGTTGTATAACCAGAGGTTTTTCAAAACGTGTAGTTTGCTTTGTGATATAATATTCTTAATTTTTTTAATTCAACATATATTCATTCAAAACGTGTAATTTTCTTCAATATCATATACTCCGTATTTATTTCAATCTTATTATATTAAATGTGTATTGCTTTGATATTTCGATATGTATATCTCATAACAAAATACAACAAAAAATTGTCCCGTGCATCGCACGGGTACGATACTAGTATAATACTAATGGGAAACGTAATGACAAAAATATGACAGCTCTCCCGTTTTCCACATATGACCATTTTCATTATTCATTTACAATTTTAACCTTCACCTATAATACGAATGTTTTCTTTTGTTCTCCCCCAGACCACTTTCTTCTAGCTTCCTCCCTGCAGCCATGCTCTCTCTTCGTGTGTGCTTCTTCCTGTGGGCTGCAGTCATGGTCTCTTTGCGTTTTTGCTTCTTCCCGTGACCTCTCCTTCATATGCAGCCGCCGCTCACCGTCTTCGTTGCGCGCCGCACCGCCGACTTTATTGGAATTATCTGAAGACGGTGAGAGGTTGTCAGATTTCTTTTTGTCGTTTGACTCATACTCTGAATTATCTGTTATCAATATAAGCCGAATTTTTCCAAAAAAAAACTTATGTAGTCATTGGTACGGATTGCATTAAGGTAATACGGAGTATCAAATATGTAGTAAAAAAAAGCATGAGTTAATTACCAATATAGGAGTAAAAGTAATAGAAATTGCACATATAGGAGTGCACACGGAAATAAAGTTTAGTAGGAGTAAAATAAATACGGATGGACCAAAATAACCCTAAACTAGCATTTGTATTGAAGTCTTAAGGCTAAAGGGCATCGCTGGTCTTCGTGATTGGATTTCGTACGGGCTAAAGTGGGTAAATTAATTAGTAAAGATTTTGCTTATTAGTCACATTTTTGGAATTTAAGAAAAAAGTCTTTTTTGTCCATTATCTACTTTTTAGTAATATTCATGTCAAACCCCCATTTTTAAATGAGATACCCAAATAAGGAAAGTGAGAACCTTTCAACGAGACGGAGGAAGTATTTATTACTGGTTCGATTTCAAATTTTATTAATGATTCAATTCTTGATTCCTATAACAATATGTTTTCTTAATCGTTCAAGTTTTTATTTATTACTAATTAGTGTGTGTATATATATTTAAATATTAAATTCACTAATTTAGTTTAGTTAATAGAGTTGGTAACTACATAAGTATTTACACGATTCCTCTTGTAGTAAAATTTTTAACTTGTTATAAATTTGTGTCACATAAAGACATTCAACGTTTGAAACTTGAACTCATTTGTATTTCTTATAATTTCAAATGTTGAATGTCTTAAAGTGTCACAAATTTAATTTAGTAGTGATTTGTAGGAGATTTTTAAAAAATTAAGAACCAAAAAATGATTAAATCCGAACCGTTAAAGTTTGGTTAGGTCCATATTTGTTCTACAAATAATTCATACGAACGAAATCACTAGTAAAAGTTGAGTTTTTTAAATGGTTCCAAAAATTTTGCTCAAGATTCGAATCGGTTTCAGGCCTATATATTAAAAATTACAAAAAAAATCCTAACTAGGAAAAACCAATGTCCAAAATTGAGTTAGACGCTAGGTGGACAATGACCGCCAGCCCTGAATCTAGCTTGTGAAGGCCCCGACTACAATGCCCAAGTATTCCTCTTTAATTCGTGGTTTTGCTTTTATTTGCTGTGAGTTTTTATATTATTTAATAATTATTTATATTAATTTGACAATAAAAATAGCTTCATAGAGTATATGACTCCAAATCCACGATCCACATACTGATAGATTATATAAATATAATGGCTCAAGCCAATTAAAGAACTCTGATCTTCACTCACATGGGCCCTTCAATCCAAGTATCCAACGAGGGTCCACGCTAACAAAGCGATCAAAAGCAACAAAATAATTTCGTGAGCACCCCGAACAAAGCGCAGTCTGCGCGGTCCCGTCGATCTACAACACCTTGTCTAGACACCCAAAAGATGTTCAGTGAACCCACATATCACACACTGCCGCATAGAAGGATTGTAACTGTGGTTGTAAACGAACCGAATCGAGTCGAATAATGAGATTTTGTATTTGTATTTGTTTAATTTTTTCAAATACAAATTCGAATTCAAATACTCCCTCCGTATTCTAAAGTTTGCTACACTTTCCTTTTTGGGATGTATTTAAAAGTTTGCTACACTTTCCCTTTTTGGTAAGTCTTTTCCTTTAAAAATACTCAACTACCCTTACTTTTTCCACTTTTTATCTTCTCTTTCATACTTTTACAAACTCTCTCCTACTTTTTCTACATTATTCATTACTCCTACTATTTTATCCGAAAACGGGCCGAAAATCAGGCCGCGCGGTGACCCGCACTACGTGCGGACGACCGCGCGGCCTGATTTTCGGCCCGTTTTCGGATTTTTCTATAAATAAGCCCCTGTTTTGCCTGTTTTTCGAGAGGAGCTTAGAGAGATAAACCCTATTTCGATTTTTAAGAGCTTTTCAAGCCTTGTTCTTCAAGATTAAGGGATTCTTTGTAAGTTCTATTTTTTTTAATTAATGACAATTATTTCTATTCATCCCAATTCTGTTGATTCTTCAATTATGAATTGTGAGTAGTTTAATTAGGGATTTGGGATTGATGAAGGGGTTAATCATGATTGATGGCTAGATTCTTGTCGGTTTAATTGCATGAATGCCGTTTAATTTGTGTTTGAATAATTTAACTGATATCTTTTGTAACCTGGAACCGCGGCTAGAATTACAATTGCATGTAGAATGAATTAAGAGAGATCTAATTTATTCTAGGACACATTCACACACACTTAATCGTTCGCTAAGAGATTAGTAGCGATTAAGGAGCCGTAAGCTCGCTCGTTTTGGCAATAATTTAGGATCTTGTCGCATGAGAGATCAGCCTGGTCCCCTAAATTATTGTACTCTACGCCGCGAGAGCGGTAAGAACTTAGTAATGATTAGCTAGGCTCAATTAAATTAAATTCATGTAATTAGGCCTGTTCTGCCAGAAATCTGATTACCCCGGAATCAATCCCTGTTCCCTTTGTCGTTAATTAGAAAGAAACCAAACATTTATCTTATTCGCTCATTCGCATTAGTTTAATTTAATTTTTATTCAATAAATCAATCTCGCACACTTGCATTGTATTTTTATTTTTTATTTTTATTCGCTGAATTTAGTTAATCTTTAATTCCCTTTTGTCCGTCCCTGTGGAGACGATACTCGTACTTTCAACCACTTTACTACATCATTTTTAAGTGCGAGAAAACACACATCAGTTTTTGGCGCCGTTGCCGGGGACGGTGTCGGATTTAAGGGTTAATTAATTTTAGCGACTTGTTTTTAGTTTTTCGTAGGATTTTTGTCTACTAACCTTGCAGGTCAGATCTGTTTATGCATACACGCTCTAAGAAGGGAGAATCACTAGTCCCTCTTAATCCTGAGATCGAGAAGCTAGCTAAACAGAACCGCAAGGCCTTTAGAGAACAGAAAGCAACCATGGATCATCCATCCAATTCTGGAATAGCTGGGACGTCTGAGGTCCAAACCACTCCTGGTAATCTGGATTTTTATGTTAATACCTCTCCCCAGTCTTCACAAGAAAATTCACCTAGAGCTTATCCGGGGTATCAAAATCTTCGTACCCCATTCTTCCCTCAAAATCAGTCCACTCCACAACTAAATCTTCCACCACTATATCAGCTCTTCCAAAATACTTCTATTGCTCCCGAAAGCACTTTTCAAAACCAAACCTTTGGGATGCAAGGTCTAGGGCAAAACAATCCAGTCTTTCAGCCCAGACAGAACCAACCGCCAGTCACACAAAATCCACCCCTTACTCAGCCACAAAATCAGCCTCTTCAACCCCAATATCAACAATTCCATCAAACCCAACCTCAGCCAAATATCATCCGTCCACAACCCATTCGACCCCAACCAGTTCATCAGCCAAGATATCAAGCTCCTCCTTACCACAATTATGTTCCACATGACAATCCGCTCTATCAAGGAGAGAGCATTGCAGATTTCCTTACTCCGGACATCACAGAGTATGACAGCATTCAAGTGCAGGGAATTACTGCACCCCGCTATG